GGGGAACCGAGATTTTTGGAAACCAAAAAAAAAAAAAAAAAAAATGTCAACAAAAAAAATTGAAAAAAAAACTAGAAAAAAAATGAATTTTCATAAAACAAAATTTAATAATTTATTCAGTAAGATTATATAACAGATTATATTAGATGTTTTCATCTTCGTTTTCCTTCAAGGCACTCAAAACATTCGAATAATCATCATCGATTCCATTTTTTTGTTTTTTACATGCAAAATGTTTTTGTTCCGGGGAAAAAAAATAATAATAATTTACAAGAACGCGAGAGATGATGTGAACAAAACAAATATTGATGGATGGTATCCAATCTTGATGAATTTGGATGGTCATTCAATAATCATTAGCCCATTCATTTTCAGCTAAAAAATTATCAATAACTTCTTTCATTGCTAAATTTGGTATTAATTGATTTGCGGTTAATGGTGTACGTGTAACCGGATCAAAATGACCAACACGTTGTAAATGTTCATCAATATCTTTACGATCATATGTAATACCACTTGGTGTTATAACTGGATCTTGCATTATTTCAAAACTTATTTTACCGCAAAGATAATCCGGTACTTCACGTTTCTGTAAAAATAAATGAATTGAAATGGAAAAAATTGAAAAAAAACAAAGCAAAGAAAACAATAATACCTTTCGTCTATCATCAACCATTTGAAATAATTCATTTGTAGCAACAATACGTTCATCAAATGTTTGATGTATCATTTGTTCTAATTGTTTAATAATTTGTTCATCTTTAACAACTTCATCACAAATATCTTGTTTAAGTTTTAACATTTGTTGTTCTTTATCTTTATGAATCAAATCACAAAGATAACTTTGTAGTTCAATTTCAGCACGAATACGTTTCTCTTCCATCATGTTCCAACGTTTCTTTTTGGCTAATCGTATTTGATAGGCAATTTCATCACCATAATTTCGTTTAGTTTCTTTTGATAATTCTAATGCTGTGATTATATTTCAAGGAAAGAACTGAATTAGAAAAAGATTCAATCAATCAATCACAAATATACCTTTCTGTAGATGAGCAATCGATTCATCATAATGACCTAATTCTAATAAACCTAAACCAAGAAAAAAATGTCCTTTAATTGAATTTGGATCCAATTCCAATGACCGACGGCTATCATCACATGATGCATCCCAATTTTTTAATTTCAAATGACAAAGTGCACGATTTGTATAGAATGTTGGTGTTGATGGGCTGCGATTCTGTTTTTGTTTTTTGGAAATGATAACGGTGATGAAAACATTCGAAAAAATCAAAAAAAAAGAGGTAAACTTACAATAGCCTGGCTATAAAGATTAATAGCATCTTCATATTTATGTAATGAAAAATATTTATTTCCTTCATCTTTTAATTCTAATGCAGACATTATTTCTTTACGTTTCATAATAATATTTCTTGTTTGAATATCTTGCCTGGATGTTGCTGATTGACCAATTTGGTTGAATTTTTTTTTCAATGGTGATGGTTAAAAACAACAAAAATAATAATAATAATAATTTTCAAATGTCAGATGGTTATTTTACTTTTCAAAAAAGAAAGAAAGCACGTTTATCTAATCTTTTTTCGTTCGTTGGTTTGTTTTTGATTGAAATAATGAAAATTCATTCGATAATGATGATTATGGCAAATTATTAAACAAACATAACTCGTTGATAATTTGATAATCTGTTTTTGAAGAAAAAAAACTAAATTTTTTAAAATAAAAATTTTTTGCTTTTTTGGATTGTCAACTTTTGCTGTTGTTGTTGTTGCTTGAACTCAGTTCGAACAAACAACAAAAAAAATATTGCAGCAATTTTTTTCTTCTCTTGGATTGCTGCAACAAATCAGCCAAGTTAAAGTCGCACAACGCTATTATTATATAGAAAACAGCGTTTCTCAACCAATCTCCGTCAATCCGCCGATTTGATCAGCCGAAAAAATTCAAAATTTTTAAAAATTTTTTTTTAAATTTACAATTTGTAATTTTTTTTCAAATTTTTTGAGTAAATTTTGTTTTTGTAAAATCTTTTCTGGTGCAAGATAAAAAATAAATTCGCATGCAAATTCACCATAATTCATAATTAATTAATATGATCAAAATTGAAAAAAATTAAAGAAATAAAGAAAAAATAATTAACATTTAAATTATTAGATAAAATTGATTATGAATGAAAAAATTATTGTTGTTGTTGTGGATATATTGAAGAAAAGAATTCAGTGTTGCAAATTGAAGACAGAAGATGCTTAATGCTTAGTTTTGCTTGTTTGATATCCTAAATGAAAATCTGCAGTGAATTTGATGATGATGATTTTCACAGCCTTTTCAATGTTCGTTTATGTTTATTCTGCGTTACTGATGATGATGATTTTGATTGCTGTAAATTACGATTCTTCATTTGTTGTTGATCAATTGTTATATTCGTTGTATTGATAATATTAAGATTATTAGCCGGTCTTTTTGTTAATGGCATTAGATCATTATTTGATGATGATGATTTTGTCTTATTGGCAGTTGATGATTGTGTTGAAGAATCACCGCTTGTTGTTGATTCATAATCATTTCGAACATTTTTATCATCGTCATCATTATTTTCATTACAATTTCTATTATCAAAACATTGTTGTTGTTGTATTGAACGTTTTGCATGAATTTCTGTTATCATTTTTGCCCGTCGATAATATTCATCATAATTTTCTAATAATAATTTTGCTGCATCTTCATTCAATGCTGATTCTGGATTCGGTACAATAAGTAAACATTTTATAACCAATAATAAATGTTTGATGCCTAGATTTTCATTCCAATCTTTTTTCAATGTATTTACACAAATTTCACCATTTCTCGAAACGTTTGGATGAAAGATTTTTGTTTGAAAATAACCTTTTGGTGGTTGTGCGGGAAATGATTTTCCAAGCAAAAGTTTTACACGAAATGAACCGTTTTGGTATGGTGTACCAGCTTGAAGAAAGATTACAGTAAAAAAACAAAAACAAAATTAATATCAAAACCATCAAAGTTTTGTGAAAAAATTTTACCTGGTCCTTCAACAATTGCCTGTATATCGGAAACATCTTCTTCATTCGGTATTAATTTAATACCTTCAGGTGGTGTTTTTATTAATTCGGCTAATTCTTTTGAAATTTTTCTCAATACATTTGGTGCTAAATTTTCAACATTTGAAGACTTTTTTTGTTTGGGAAAAAATTAAAAAACAAAACAAAATTTTCAATCAAATGAAAAAAATTGGCTATAACTTATTGATCAAAAACTTACCGACATGATTATCAAAATTTCGATTTTTTTTTCTTTGGATTAATTTAATTATGGAATAAAAAACATCCAAAACAAAACAAAAATCATCAAAAACGAGAAAAAATTTCAACGGTTTTTTCTCTTGCTCTCGACAGGAGTGAGCTCGCAATACAAAAAAACATAATTTCTATGCGCCTATTTCAACCTTTCTGGTGGTGAAATGAACAGCGAAAAAGATTTCGAACACGTAATCCGAACGAAAAGAAAATCTTCGAAAAATTTTCCAAACATCTTTTTTACAAATTAATCCAGATTTATAATTTACTTTGCGTTTTAAAACAGAAAAACAAAACATGACCATCATACATCGTAGTAAAAATCATATTAATATTATGAATCTATTGTCAAAATGTGAATATAGATTTCAACTGATTAATGATAAATGTGATTGGCGTTTAGAACAGGTGATTATTGATAAACACACATTTGATGATGTTTTGATTCGAGTTAATTTTTCCTTTTTTTCCCCATTCTAATTATTAGTATATAAAATCTATATTTCAAATGCTTGAACAAGAAGAAATGAATACGGGTAAATTGTAAGCATGTTTTTTTCCAAAAAAATACATTTTTTCAAAATATTTTCCATTTTTTTTGCTGGAAATCAGAAATGATGAATTGGTTGCAGCAAAAAAGAAAGCACAATTTTTTCAAGGATTACTTGATGCACATTCAAAAGATACAACTATATTGGAACAATATTCAATTATAAATTCATTACAATCAAATTCAACAACAACAACAATGCAAACAGAAAATGAAACAAAACGAATACATTTAACCGAAATAGCTAAATGTGATAAACGAATGAAAAAAGAATTATTATCATCACGATTAACGACCGACAACAAAACAACGACCGCTGATGATAAGAATGAAAACCATGAAAATCGAATACGAAATACTAAAAATAAAAATTATGAAGATATTATTAAATATCATGAATTATTACAAGAAAAAGTTACAAACGAAATGGTTATATTAGTACAAAATTTAAAACAAAATCTAACAACAAGTAATGAAATTGTTAAAAAAGATACCGAATTATTGGAAAAAACTAATCAATTTACTGAAAAAAATGTATCAAATTTAAGAAAAAATGCTGATAAAATACGTGAATTTGCAAGCGCTGCTTGTGAATATTGGCTTTGGATATCATTAACATTAGTTATATTTATATTTTTATTTATGGTTATTTTTATTCGATTATTTCCAAAAAAAGCAACTATAATTGTTATTAATAATATTGCTGGCCAACAACAACAACAACCATATCATCATCAATCATTACAACCATCATCGGATCAAATCAATGCCTATACAAACGATATTAATGATGGCAATCAAAGGATTGAATTGTAATATTATCTAAAAGCAAAGACAAAAACCCACAAAAAAATATGAAATCAAAATAAAAAATTTTCAAAAAAAAATCCAATAAAAACTCCCATAAAAATATAAATGAAAAATTTCGAATGTTTTTTTTGGAAAAATTTTAATGCGCACGAGCAAAACGAACACTGTTTTTGCACACACAAGCTGATCGATTGATGGTATTCAATAAAAATTTTTTCATTTTGTTTTCGTTTTGAATCAATGTGTGATGCAAAAAAGAAAATCTTTTTTTCCCGTTAGTAAAGATAACCATTTTTTTTCGTTGTAAGAAAATTTGCATCCAAATATACAATCGTCTCTTCTCTCTTGTACGCGCATATACCATATTGTTGGATTTTTTTTCTTTTTCTTATTTATTTATTTTTGGTGAGAAAAAAAAGAAGAAAAATAAATAAAGAAATGTCGTCATCATGATGCATCATTATTGTTATTGACATTTGTATCACTTTAATCAACATCAAAACATATGATTTTATTTACTCAACAATGTCTTTAACAACATCGACAACAACAAACAATGATAACCTTAAATGTCAACAACAACTGCTTATCAATCGATTAAATTCATTAATAACTCAGGTAAATACCAATTGTGATAACACTCTCTTCATAACTACATATGTTTTATTTTGTTTAAAGTGCCAGAATCGTTTTGTTAATCGTTATGAATTAGCAACTGAAAATGATCAATTAATTTCCAATCTTTTAATAATAATTGAAGAAATTTTTACTAATGGTTTATTGACAAAAAAATCGAATAAAATTCTTGGACGTGGAAAGTAAGAGTAAACAGTTGACATGAATCGAACGTTTTTGCTTAACATATGTTTTTATAGTAAATTATTTAGCAACATTCTTTCTAAAAATGATATAAATCCATGTTTTTGGAATTATATCAGTGCGTTTCTTACCGAACATGAATTGAAACGATTTTTATCATTACGTTTTGTCCATACGGGTAAATTGTTTTTTTTTTGATTTTCTGATCATCATGAATAAATCATAATTTTCAATATGATAGATTTAGGTCGAGGACGTTCATGGATTCGTAATTGTTTAAATGAACATTCATTGGAAAAATATTTTCTAATGATTGTTGAAGATACGCAAGAACATCGACAACAATTTTATGATGATTGGGCCTTATTATTGTCTCAGGAACAGATTGATGGATTACCTTCATCATTCAAAAGTTTAAATTCAATTCTTTTTGCCCTTAATATTGATAATGCTGATTTGGATCGGCCATCATCATCACAATCATCTTCATCGCCGAAAAAATTCAATAATGATGATGATGATGATACGATGATCAAATCTTTGGCACCGATACGAAAAAATGATGAAAATAATCGTTTAGTGAAATCGACAAGAAAAAAAAGTAATTTAATTATCATACATGATAATGATGATGATGATGATGTTGATGATGAATATGATGAAGGTCAAGAAACATCGGTTGCATGTCTTGCACGTAGTGCACCAGTCAATTCATTTCTTCAATCATCAAGTATGTCAACAATTGTAACTCAAGAATCATTTCTTGATGAAACCAACAATTCATCCGAAACTAAACGTAGTTTATCATCATTATCTATAAATAATGAATCTGATTCATCAAAATTAATTTTATATCCAATTTCGGATGATGTTAATATTTTACCATCATCATCATCATCTTCATCAACAACAAATAATCCAATTTCAAATGATACAAATCAAAATAATGATAATCAAACAGATCTGTATGGGAAAATTGATGAATTACAAAAAACACGTGATCGTTTAACTAAAGAAAATAATTTACTAAATATTCAGATGAAAAAATATATTGCAACAATCGAATTACTTAAATATAATAAATGTACAATTCAATCACAGCCATCAACAACAACGGTTGAAACATATCAACAACAATCATCATCCGCTCATCATAATAATGATCATTCCAATCAAACAATCAATGATTATCAGAAAAAATTGATTCAAATTTCTGAAATGCATGGTGAAATTATTGAATTTAATGAACATTTATATAAAGTCATTCAGATAAAAGATGCAATTATTGCTAGATTAAGAAATGAATTAATTGAATTACGTGGTCCAGTAAGTATTTTAATTTTTTGTTTTTTTTTGTAATTTAATTATCTTTTTTTGGTTCTTTTTTCGATCAAAAATTTTAGTTACCCGATCAAGATGAAGTAATTAGCATATCAACTGAATTAGAATCAAATACACATTCATTACAATCATTACCACAACCATTAATACATGTATGGATACCGACAGCATTTTTATCCGGTGGTTTTAAAGGAAAATCACATCATATATATCAAATATATGTACGAATTAAAGATGAAGAATGGAATGTTTATCGTCGTTATTCACAATTTTATAGTCTATATAGATTATTAAAAAATCAATATCCAACAACAGCGAAATATGAATTTCCACCGAAAAAAGCAATCGGTAATAAAGATTCTAGAGTTGTACAAGAACGTCGTAAAAAATTAGAATGTTATCTTCGTAATGTAATCAATCATATACAATTACAACATATGGATATTAATAATAAGGAAAAATTTACAACCATTTTGCCTTTTCTTAGGTATGTTTTTTTTTATTTGTTGTTCACTTTGAAATTTACTCATTTTCTCTTTTTGGATTAGTGACAAATATTTTCTACAAGATCGATCACAATCCGAATCAAATCTTAATCAACAACAACAACATCAACAACCACAACAATCAAATACAAGAAATTATCTTGGTTTTTAGAGATGACATCATCAGTACATATTATTATATAAAATTCTCAATTTGTTAAATTCATCAAGAAATTTTTTTTTCACAACTGCATCATCAATTTGTTTTATTTTCATCAATTTTTTTAAATATTATTATTATTATTATTAGTTACAAATTATATTCAACAATTTTTTTTAAATAATAAATAAATTAAAACAAAATAAAAGAAAAATTGATTGAAGGAACACACACAAAAGAAAAAAATTATTATGTCGAAAAAAATTTGTCATTCTCATTCATTATACCAATTATTTTGTTGAGCGATTTGTTTCGTGACGATTATAAAAATTTCCGCATTCTTTTCGGCAGTTAAATTTGTTTGAAGAAAATCGAATAAATTTTCCTCCTATATAATAATTGATGATCACAAAAAAAAATTATCATCGATTTGATTTTGTTGGACAACTTACCTGGCCAATTAGGATTGGTTCTTTTAATTTCGAATCTAAATTATAATAATTTGAATCAAATTTCCTGACAGCAATCCAATGTCGTCGTGATGATGTAAAAAATGTTAATGCATTTTTCCAAAAATCACAGTCATTTGGAATATTTAATATGAAACCAAATATAACATTCAAGTTTAAACGTTTTGGATCTCTAAAAATTCAGTAAGATTTCAATTAAATAATTAACAGCAATGAATAATAATCGATAATTACTTTTTTCTATTAAACCAAATGGCTTCATAATTTTTATTCTGTAATGCCATCAATAAAACATTAACATCATAATTACCGAAACCAAATTTTGATTTATGTGGATTAAACAATAATATGGATGATGGTGATAATGTTTCAGCAATTGAATCAAGATCATTTTTTGTAAATGCATTCGAATCTTGAAATAAATTATTTAATGCATGTAATGCACAAAGTTGACGACTTTGTTTTTCATGATAAATATGATTTTTATTGAATAATTTTATATTCTTTTTGTTGTTTATAAGCTCATTTTTGATATCATTTTTCACATTATCATCATCATTGGTAGCCAATATCTGATCATCGTTCATTCTATTATCGGCCATCATCAATTTGTGTGATCACCACCGATTTGGCCATCAACAAACAGAAAAAAAACCATGGAAGATTGAAAAGAAAACCTAATTCATTTTCAAATAAATTAATCATTTTTCATTCAAACAAATCAAAATAAAATAAACAACATTGAATGAGAAAACTTTTCATAAAATCAATTGCACGGGCAAGACGAAAAAAGTTTCCAGAAATAATAATGATTTTTTTGAATTCGAATTTTGCTATCACAAAATAAGCTTTTATTTATTATTATTTTTACAAACACAAACAGAATTTTCTAAACTCTTCTTGGTAATAAATGTCCTTCAGTATTGAAAACATAATTATTTAACAATTTTCGTATAATTTTATGATCATCCATAAATAATAAATAAAGATATTTCAATGTTTCAGCCAGCCAAAATGATTCCATTTTATCTTTTGGTTTAACATTTTTTGGATGACGAACATCATTGATTGTTGTATAACCACCGGTATTAATACGTGTATATTTTTGAAATGCATTAAAAACTTGTAAACCCCAATCACGATAAATTTGTTTACCAGTTATATGATAAAGAAAAAATAATGATTCAACAAATTCTGGACGTAATAGATTATGTGTATCTCTTGGTTTGATATAAAAATCACCATCTTGATAATCTTGACCAAAATAACCAATTTCAGGTGATAAACCAGTTTCAGTTAAATTATACATATAATGACATGTACGTGCTAAATCTTCAGCTAATTTTAAATGATTAATAAATGTTTCATTTACAATTTGTAATCGATAAAATGGTTGTAAATGTTCATGATAATAGCCTAATGCTAATGTACCGGATAAAAAACAAACCAAATGATCCATTTTTGGATGTATTGATTGCTGATCTGTATTTAATATTTCACCAATATATAATAATTTTAGTTTACTCTTTGTTCTTGACGTTAAACGATTTTCAATAGCATCAATCGATCGAATATAATCATCCAATAAAAATTCAATTTTCGTTTGTAAATATTGTTTATAAAGATATTCATAATATGAATCGGCACGTGCACCCATCGTTATTGTCGATGTCATTAGATTACCCGTATAAGGATTTATATACATTGGTAGTAAATAATTTTTTCGTTGTTGTATTAAATCATGTATATGTTTTGATGTTGCAAATGATTTTTCTTCATATGATTTATCATTAGTTTCATAGGATAGATCACGAAATTCCAATTGTACACTTGATACTTCGGATAATGATGATTCAGGCATATAAGATGGTGCTTTAGCCATTTTCTTTTTCAAATTAACATCACTAAATGGTACTGTTTTACTTTGTGAATCAAAACAATGTATCAGACGATCACCAAGATCGATTGCTTTTTCCAATAAAATTTTCTCCTTACTTATATGATATGCTGACATTAATCCAGCTGTGGAACGAAGAAAAATCAAAAATTATTAATATCGAAACAAATTTGATATTCAAAACAAATTACCTAATGCACGTATAGTTGTTTCAAAACAATTAACATTTTCATTAACATCGAATGTTAGATCATTTTTAACCCATTCGAGACCCTGTTTAAATTCTGTTTGAATTTCAAATTTTTAAAAAAAGAAAAATTAATCAGAAACTTGTAGATTTTCAACAACAAAAAAAACAACAACTAACCATCATTTAGGCCAGCAATCAACAATGTATCAAGTGAATCTAAAATAGTTAAACCAATACCAAACCAATTTGAACCTTTTTGTGTAATTGGTTTTAACATATCTTTACCCCATGCATATTTACGATAACCATTCCATGAATGTTGAATTGCTTCTTGTATTAATTTTTGTTGTTCGTTTTGTTTTTTTGATGCAATAAATAATTCTTCATTGGTTATCATTTTATCACCATCATCATCATCATTATCACCATCGAGTAAAATAGATGGTAATTTTTTTGTCGAAACAAATTCTTTGTTTGTATTATCTAAATTATCTGAATTTGAATTTTGTGGTGGAAGCATAATATTATGTTCAATAAATTGTGATGGCAGATGAATATTTTGATTATTATCACCATTATTATCATTATTCAACAACAATGAATCAACATTTTCATCAATTCTGATAAGATTTTTCTTTGTACCAATAAACAATAGATAATATGAAAATGTAAATAAAATAAATATAATGGCAACAATCAGATAGAAACGAAGAAATTTTGGCAATCTTTTCCATTTCTATAGAGATTATAATCAAAAAAGAAATGAAAATGAATTCAGGAAAATGAAGATCACAAAATGAACATACCCTTTTGAACAAAAGAAATGATGATTTAAAATTCGGTAATTTCTCTGTATTGAGATCCATTTGAAAAGTAAAATGATTGTATGTGTGTGCGAATGAATGAATGGAATGGAACAAAGAAAGATTTTCTAATTGAAACAAATGTGAATAATCATTATTATTGACCTAATGGATAATAATCTGATTTTTATAATTTTATTCCATGAATGATGGATAAATAAACAGTTAGAATGTTGTTGAGATCAAAAAAAATGTTCTTTTTTTTTTTTTTTTTTTTTTTTTTTTTTTTTTTTTTTTTTTGTTGATTCTCCTAAACTCGCACATCCGTAAATGACGTTGCATCTTGAAATTAATATTATGTAAAAGAAAAATTATTTTATTTTATTTTTATTTGTAAAATCAATTTTAAAACATTAAAAAAAATTTGATCAATTAATATGGCCATAATCACTATCGATAATCAATTGTTGCTGCTGTTGTTGTTTTTTCATTTCAATATAATCCGATATTAAAGCGGTAATTTGAATAATTTTCTGTTCGGATAATTGAAAAAATAATGGATGTCCATTTTTATTCAACATTTGTTGACGAAATATTTGATTATCCGATTTTAATGTTTCCATTGATAATAATTCATTTAGGCAATTTTGATCAATAGTTAATGTAAAATAGGATTTAAAATAACCATAATTCAATACATTTCGATAGGATATTTTTAATATTGAATGAAATGATTCATATTCCAATAATTCAATAAAATCTTCATCAATTGCAATCCAAATCATTGAATGATTACGAAAAAATTTATACAAATAAAGACTTGCCAGATCATCATATTTTAGACAATTAAAAATATTTGCCTGAAATAATTGACATCCACATAGATTCCATTTCCGTGTACAATTTAAATAAATTCGTACACAATCTAATAATGATCGATCACATAGTTCATTCCATCGTTGTGTCACGATTTCATTCAGACCATTTTTGTTGTGAAATTTTTCGGACAAAAATCGTATCGTTGACTGTTTCAAAATTTGATCGACATTGTTGTTCTTGTTGTTGTCATAATTTCGATGATTACCATATTCGATTTGTATCATTAACGACATCAATTCGATTGCTAAATCATATGTCACTGGGAAACGATTGTTGATTACTTCATTGTTTATTTCATAGATCCATATTAATCGTTCTTTGTCCGTTTCATTTTTGAAATGTTGTCGTAAACAAAGACGATGTTTATAGGTAAGTTTAATGATTTTTGTTGGTTCAAATTTTCCCAGATTATATTTACGCATTGTTGTTTCCCAATTTGAAATTGCATCAGCAAGTTTTTCCGATGGATCCAATAAATGTTCAACATCTTTTTCAATTGGATCATCACTGTATAATGCAAATCCAGAATAAATATTATCACGAATACCGGATTCAGAATTAATTTGTCGAATAAATTCAGCAACGGTTGTTGAACCATCAAATCCAATAACCTGATAAGAATTATTAGCAAAATGTACCGGTATTGAATGTGGCATTGAATGTTGATAAGGATTACGTTGAATAATAGACAGTACTTCCATTCGTGATGGAATTCGTCTTCTTGGTCCATTCATCAATGTTCGTCCTAATGCTCGTTCACAATAAAGAAAATATTTTCCCAATTCAGTTGATTCATTTTTAAATCGATTTATATGATGTTTAAGTAACCAAAGAACTTGATTTTGTGGTAAAAACAATGAAATAGTTGCCGATAAAAATTGTAAGCATTGTAAAAATAATGATGAATCTTTTTGTGATGATGGTGATTTTGGTATTGGTTCCGGTGGTGAACGAATATCATTATTATTACATTTAAATAATGAATGTGGTGAACACCAAAATGTTTTTGTCTGATTATTATTATTATTTGTTGATTGACTACGATGAACAATAAATGATGATGATGATGATGATCGATAATTTATTGGTGAACTTTGTTTAATTAATTGATAATAAAGTTCTGCTTGTAATTCTGGATGATCCAAACAAACTTGTAAACAATTTTGTATTAATGTTATATGATAATCAATTGCATTCGATTCTATTGGTACTTGTATGAATAATTGTATAGATCGAAATAGTTTTAATGCTTCACGTTTTAAATCCAAATCATATAATGAAATTAATGATTCTTGAATATTATCATCATTTGTAAATGTTAACAATGAATTATTCCATATATCATGTGAATAAAATTCTTCTTTTGAATTACAATTTGATTCCAGGTTCAATAATGTAATAAGAAGATTTTCAAATGAAGTTTTCGGTATATTATTTGAATCGAATGCTAATTTTAGATGATAATACCAAAGACTAAAATCTTGTTTACTAATAAAAACCAAATAAATTGGTTCATTATTATCATTATTATTGTTTTTCGGATGAATCGATAATGAATAATGAATTTGTTTTTTTAAAATATCATCATATATTAATAGATTATCATCACCATCAGGAATTTGTATCTCTTGTATATCACAATCTTTTAAACTTGTATAACCGATTGGTATTTTTTCAAATGGATTATTAAAATATACAAGATGATTATTATATAATGCTGTCCAACATTTGATTGAATGTCCAAATCTAACTTTGATTAGATAATTTTCAATAATTGGTACTTGATTATCCTGTAATTTTAATATATTATTCATTGTTAATGTTTGACCAATCAAACGTAACCATTCATTGTATGAATCATTTGTATCGGCAGCTAAATGTATTGTTCGTTTACCTTGTTGATATGATAAATGAAATCGAAGATCTTTTGATCGAATCAATGAACAATTTTGATCCAATACAATCGTTCTTTTTGGTTTTGTCTTTTTTATCTTTTTTGTTGTCATCGTATTATCATTGTTATTATTATTATTATTATCTAGGCCATTATCATTTTTATATTTAAAATAATAAAATGTTCCATCTTTCAATATGAACCAACGTTTTTTCCAAACTTTAAATTTTCCGGACAATTTGTATAGATAGCCTGATTTTTCAAGTTTATTGTCATTCAAAGTTGTTGATGATGATAACGGGCCAAACAAAGATTGTTGTTCTCGTTCTCGTTGTTGTTGTTGTGGTGTTAGATTTGTGGCAATTTTCAATTTTTCAAATGAATCTTCAAGAAAATGATAATGATGTTCATCGCCACCACCAACATCACTATCGAATGTTGTCAAAGTTGTTGCCCGTGCTGTTGTTGAATTTGTTTCATGTGAATGATCATTAAAAATGTGATGATTTTTTCGCAATAGTGTCGGTTTTGTTGCTGTGGTCGTCGTCGTCGTCGACGTTGTTGTCGACGATGATGATGATGATTTCAACAATAACAATTCATTTGTTGTAGCCATAGCCATAATCGTTGGAGTCATCGTTGAATCGGTTTCATTTCCACTTGATGTGGTCACATTACTTACTGTCGATCGATGTTGTTGTTGTTGTCGTTGTTGTCTGTTGATGAATGTTGTTGTCGCTGTAGCTGTCGTTTTCGGTAACTGAAATGGATGAATTTCATTTTTACTTCCGTTATTATTATTAATAATTATTTCTCTAGACATTATTATATCATCGTTGTCGAATGATGAATTTGTTTTCGGTTGTAGCTGAAATTGGTTTTGTTGTTGTTGTTGTTTTTGTCGTTGACTTATGATCGCTTCGGTTGAAAGATTTGTCTCATCAACATCATCATCAACAAAACGAATTGAATCATAACAATTTTCATTTGAATTTTGTCGATTTTCGTTGTTGTTGTTGTTGTTATAATGATAATTATTATTAATATAATGATGATGTTGTTGATGATTTCTTTTTTCAAAATCTTGTTGTTGTTTAAATTTTGTTACATAATTGATTGGTGTTGATAATGTACTTTGTATAATACCATTTTGAGCTATTTCATATATACGTGATTCCCAAGATGGTAAACGATGTAATGGTGGTGTGGGTGGTTTTTTCCTTTCAATATCATCATCAACATCGACATTTTGAGGATAATCATGGCCATCAATATTTTTGGAATTAATTTTTTGATTATGATGATCCAATGTAACAACATTGAAATGATTTTGTTTATTATTATTATTGTTGTTGTCATTATTATTATTCATCGTAGTTATTGTAGATTTTTTCCATTTATTCATTTTGATTAATTTTCTATCAAGGCTACTTGATTTTTTTGTTGTTTTTGTTGTTGTTGTTGATCGATTTTGTCGTCGATGATGATTTTTCGATCGATATTTATTCATTTTTTGTTGTTGTTGTTGTTGAGTTTTTCGTCTACTCAATCCAGATGATAATAGAATATTATCATCATCATCCGATGATGATGACGAAGACGACGAGGAAGATGTCGACGACGATGACGTCGATGATGATAATGTTGAAAAATTTTGTTTTTTCAAATAATATCGATTATTAGAAGGATGATTTTGTTGTTGTTGTTGATATTTATTCATTGTTGTTTGTTGATGATAACGACGATGATGACGACGTTGTGGTTCAGGTGTATAAGATTTTTTCATTACATAACGTTCACGTAATTTTAATAATTCTTCATTTACTTTTTTATTTTCTTCTTTCAGTAATTGATTTTTTTCTTCCAATTGTTCCAAACGTAATGATATCCATTGTTTGATTTCGTTGACATTTTTTATTCCCGATTTTTCATTATCAGCATCGCCATCTTTACCAACATTATTATCGTTCATGGAATCCATATTTGCTTGATGATTTGCTTTTTGAATCCGAAAAAACCCGAAAAAATCCCGTGAAAAATTGAAAACAAAAAACACAAAAAAAAAAGAATGAAATCGAATGGAATATTCCATGAACGTTCGATCCAAAACATTCTTTTCACCCCTCCTCCCGATTCATTTTAGTAGAAGCAAAAGGAGGCGGGAAATCTAATTTCCGACCAATCTCTTTCCACTTTTTTTTTTGATGCGCACATTCATTTTATGCGCAGATCGAATAAATTCATTATGATCCATTCATAATAAACGAATTCGAATGATTCGAAAGATTCGAAACGCGAAAAATCCGAAAATCCGAAAATTCAAAAATCCGAAAACAAAAACTGTCACCTTGTTACTTTTAACTTGTTTTTCTTTCCTCTTGGTGATAATGATCATCTTACAATCCATTATTTTAAAGAAATTAAACAACAAAAAAAATGAAAATGAAATTTCAAAATGGGCTATGTGTCCCCACAATGCAAAAAAAAAATAAAGGTCATTGTTTGTTTTGTTTGGCTGGCTGATATTAATGATAATGTTCACCATATTGCAATATAATCATCATCATCATTTTAAAGTTTTAAAAAAGTTTTTTATTTAAAAAAAATAAGAAAGAAAGAAAGAATAACAAACATCCGTTATTATATTGACCTTTGTCCATTTGTCTCACACACACATAGCAAAAAATTTTTCTTTGTTTCTTTGTGTGTTTTGTCAAAAAAAAAAGTGAAAAGAAAAGAAAAAAAATGAAAACAATTCATGATTAAGGTCGATTTTTTTTATCATTTTGAACTTGATAATCATCATCATCATCATCGACATCATCATTTTATCCAAAATAATGATTGAATCTTGTCGTTATAAGATTGATTCTCAGGACAGAACAACGATGACATACAATTGGACAACACAGTGTTTTTTTATTTCAATCAAGACAAGATTCACAATCATCAGATTTGAAAAGAAAAAAAAAATTTACCAATGAACATTCGCAGCCAGCAAGATTCGAACTTGCGCTCCCAATGGGAAATGGATTTCTTTGGTTTTTAACCCCTGTGCGTTAGCATCAAGGATCATCAACTTTCAGTTATCCGATTTTGAATGGATTCAAGTCCATCGCCTTAACCACTCGGCCATAGCTGCGCTCAGATGGGTAATATATGATTTTTATTTCATTTTAATCGAAAAAAAACTTTTTAAAAAAACAAAATTTCAAACTTTTTTTGACCAAAAAAAAAGTTTTTCCGTAATTTTTTTTTATTATCTCCCAACAGCTTTGGCGAAAAACAAAAGAGCAGGTTTTCGTGCTTCTGCCTTTTCTGCAATATTGCAAACCAAACGCCCAAATGTGAAAACGAAAGAGAAGAAAGAGAATCAGCTGATTTGATTCGATCATTCTTCAATTTCTTGTTTCTGATTTGATTGATTTGATTTGATTATCAAATTGAAAAAAAAAGTGTCATCAATTTTTGATCGATTCGAATTGAATTGAACTTGGCATTCCATTTCCATTCTTTTCTTTTGAAAAAAAAAGAAAATCAAAAATCAAATTTTCTCATTCATTCAGCAATCCATTTCGTCCGAAAAAAATCTTTTTCTTTCTCTCAATTTCTCTGTTTTTCTCTCCTTTTCAATTCAATCTTCTAATTTCACCTGTCCACCATCATCACCATTATTATTATTATCATCAAGATCATAATGGATTCAAAGGATAAAATGTAAGTTGAAAGGTTGCTGCCCTTCTTTTTTTCTTTTTAACCATATTTCAGTTTGTTTTACACTGTTACGGATGAAAGATTATTTTTTTTCTTCTTTTTATTCATTTTTTTCATTTTCTTTCCTTTCCTTTTTTTTCACATAGACTAAACTTGTTGTCGGTTTTGAAAAAATATTCAACAAACATAAATCATTTGGATTCAAATAATTTTCAAAAGTTATTCAACCTGATATTTGAACATTTTTATAACATTAGTTACGGAAATCAACTTGTTAATGATAATCAACAACAACAACAACTTGCTTTCACTAATTCGGACATTACACTTTCTTCATCAATTGGTTGTGGTGGTGGTGGTGATGTCGTTGATGATGATCATCATCATAATGATGATGATGATGATGATAATAATCAACTACGAAAATTATTAGAAAATTCTACCATAAACAACGATGATGATAATTATTATTTATTGGCAAAATTTTTACTGAAATTTTATTCAGAAATTTTTCAATTAAATTTAAAAACAAAATCATTGAAAAATCTACTAACAAAATCTGAATGGTCAGATGAAAAAATTGAACTGTTTATTGAACATTATCAAAAAAATTCTTTAAAAATTTTCAATCAACAAAAATCACGTTCATTTGAATTATCAACAAAATATTTATTAAAAAATTTAGATCGTAAACTAAAAATCCTAAGTGATCATTCGCAAACATCAAAACCAAAATTACCATTATGTGAAATTAATTTTCAATTCAATAGCAATGATGATGATGAAGATTCGAATAATTTAAAAAATTTAACATTAACATTTAATCATTCGGAATTGTTAAATTTTTATGATCAAATTGAAATTATACAATCAAAAATTGATAAACTTTATAAATAAAAAGATTTTTCCGCTCAAAATTCTTCAATGGCAATGACATTCAAATCATCTTGATCATCGTTGTGATTCTAGTTCAAATTTCAAAATTTTTCATTGTGGAACCAGTTTTTTTCCCTTGAATCTTTGAGAAAACAACCAGAAATTGTTGAAAGTTCACCGTACCGATATCGAATGTTATTTTCCAGTTATTCTTCTGTTTTTGACCTTTTTCATTCAGTGTTTAACCCTTTCATATCGTCTATTCACCTTTCGTTTTTTTTTGCTCCCGTTTGTTTCATCAAAAAGCCATTTAAAATCATCATTTCATAGCATCAATTTACCGCATTTCACATCATCTTGTCATCTTGAAAGCATCTTCATCATCATTTTTTACTCGAAAACAAAAAAATGAAATCTTTTCGGTTATCATTCAAATATTATTTTTTACCATCATTATGGTTTCTATTATTATTTTTTCTACAAATAATTTGTCTACCATCATTATCATTATGTTTAAATTCATCCGTTATATATGAAGATGATGATTATGTTGGTGGTGAATCATCGAATAATAAACAAAATGAATTGGATAGTCCAACAAAACATGATATTTGTAAGTAGATCAACATCATAATTATGTAATTATAAAGATTATTATCATCATTATTTTTTTCCTTTTTGTTCACAAATGTTTCGACACCATGATCATCATAAAAAATAGCCAATGATAATGGATTAAAATTGATCTGTTATTATGGAAGTTGGGCTGTTTATCGACCTGGAAGAGGAAAATTTCCTGTAGAAGAAATTGATCCATTTTTATGCAGGTAAATACCATTTTGGTTAAAATAGCTTTTTTTTGATCATTTTTTAAATTTGATTTTTTTTCGTTTTTTTTAACATTTTTTTTAAAATAAAAATAGTCACATTATCTATGGCTTTGCTGGTCTAAGCTATGATAATAAAATTCGTCCACTTGATCCATATAATGATTTAAAAGAAAATTGGGGTAAAGGTGCATTTCTACGATTTACTGGATTAAAAAAGATAAATAGAAAATTAAAAACAATGATTGCAATTGGTGGTTGGAATGAAGGTTCAGTTAAATATTCAAATATGGCCGCAAATCCTGAATCAAGAAAAACATTTGTCAATTCTGTTATGGATTTTTTAGAACGTTATGATTTTGATGGTCTTGATTTTGATTGGGGTATGGCAAAATATTGAATGAATTTTAATCTTTGAATTTTTGAATTTTGATTTTTTTAACTTCTTCGCAGAATATCCTGGATCACGTGGTGGTAAACCTGAAGATAAACGTAATTTTGTTATATTATTACGTGAATTAAAACAAGCATTTGAACCAAAAGGTTATATATTAAGTTCTGCTGTTGCAGCCGGTAAACATTTTATGGATCCAGCATATGATGTACCACAAATATCCAAATATTTAGATTTAATTAATGTTATGTGTTATGATTATCATGGAAGTTGGGAAACCCGAACTGGTCATCATTCACCATTATATGGACGGCCAAATAATCCGGATGATTTTCAATTGAATGTAAATTTTTCGATAAATTATTGGATTTCAAAAGGTGCACCACGAAATAAATTGGTTTTAGGTATGGGAACTTATGGTCGTGCTTTTACATTAAGAAAAGCTGAAAATCATGATGTTGGTTCACCGGCACCACAAAAAGGACAAGCTGGACCTTATACACGTGAAGGTGGTTCATTAGGTTATAATGAAATTTGTGAAATGAAAATGAAATTAGGTGATCGTATGAAAAGTCAATGGGATTCTTATTATATGGCACCATATTCATATTGGGATCGTCAATGGGTTGGCTATGATAATGTAAAAAGTATTGAAATTAAAGCAAATTATGCAAAAGCAATGGGCTTAGCTGGTGGTATGATTTGGTCAATTGAAACGGATGATTTTGGTGGACATTGTGGTCAAAGATATCCATTATTGAATGCAATTCGTCGTGTATTTGAAAGTGATGAACCACCAAGATTACCAAAACCAAGTTATGATCCAGGTCAAGATCAAGAATCAACAAATCGACCATCATCATCAACGAATCGACCATTTCCTTCATCGACATCGTCGACAAGATCACCTATTCCATGGCCACCAGCATCATCATCATCGCAAAGACCACCATTTTCGTCACCACGTCCATCATCATCATCACGTCCAACTTCACCGCGTCCTACTTTAACTACATCAACAAGTCAAATGCCAAGTAGTGAAACACCAATAACAACAACAACAAGATGTATTCGACCAAGTATAACAACAACAAGATCAACGACACCAATCATATCAACACCAATGATAACAACATCATCATCAACAACAAGAACAACATCAACAACAACCAGTCAAAAACCATGGCAATCTTCTTCAACAACTGTTCAACCTACAAATCGACCTGATGATGATTCAAGTGGTGGTTCAACTTGGTGGTCAAGTTCAACACCATGGTGGCCACAAAAACCATCACCAGGTGTATCGGCTAGTTCAGAAATGTGGTGGTCATCAACATTTCCAACAGTGAATAAAAAATTCAGTATTAGTCCACAGAATAGTATTGATGAAAAAATAACAACAACAATAAAAAATCCATTCAATTATCCAACGGAAAAAGACAAAGAAGAATTTATCTGTGGTGAAGAAGGTCTATATCGACAACCAGATGATTGTACAAAATTTATTCGTTGTGTTGAAACAAAAATCGAAGGACAATTTCAATTATTTTTCTATGAATGTCCGGAAAAAACTGTTTTTAATAATGAATCAAAATTATGTGATTGGGTTGAAAATGTACCCGAATGTATGAAATCCGTACCACATTATTATTTTCGTGGTAATGTTTTTACATTGAAGAATACAATATTACCAAAAGGAGCTTTGGATCATTCATAGATCAAAATCAAGATCCAAAAATCAAAATGGTTATGGTTTTTTTTTATTTAAATTTTTTTTCTTCACTTTCTTTCTTTTCTTTGTGTGATGATGGTGATGGCAGATGATGATGATGATTATATTTTTTTTTTCAAATGTACAGTGGCAATTTATAATTTAAAAAAAAAATTATTTATTTATTTATTTGTAATTAAAATTATAAAATTATAAAATCAAAAATTAATAAAAAAAATGCTCAATCGATTAACAAATGATTTTTTCGAATAAATTTCGAAATAATTGGTAAAGAATCAATGGTAAAAAATTTTGTACCTAAACACATTTCATATTGTAATGTGGATAATTTTCGATCACAATCAATCGAATGATAAACATGAATTAAATCCGGATCGGTTGAACGAAATATTGTAAAATTATTTAAAATAAAACGATCATAAAGATTAACATCTTCAATACCCCAACCATTTATAGTTGTATTATAACCACCAATTTTAATTAAATCTTCATTATAAACAGAAACAATACCATAACCAAATTGACGCCAATAGCCGAATTCTTCTTCGATTTCTTCGTTGTGGTCAATGGAATCATTTTTCAATAATTTTTTCAATAAATTTTCATATTGACTAAATACAATTGGATAATAAACTTGTTGATTTAAACGAGTATTTTGACGTACACGATTCAATACTTTCCCAGTGAAAATCATATCAACATCAAGAAAAAATAATAATGATTTTTTACTAAATAATGTTGAACTTTTTTGCAATGCTGTACCACGTGAAAATTTCCCCATAATTCGAACGATATTTTTTGTACCGGAAAATTTTTCCAAAATTTTTTCAATTTCATTCGAATTTGTTGTTTGATTTGAATTTGAATTTGAATGATGATCGGGAAATAAAACAACAGTCAATGTTAGTTGATTATCTTGTTGATAAACATCAATGAAATTCTGAACAAATCTTTGAAATGTTGATATTCTTCCTGCTAATGGTACAATTATATTGATAACATCATTATTGGATTTTTCTTCCACATGAATCAAATGTGAACGAGAAAATGTTTGAACAGCATAAATATGTTTACGAATCGGTATTGTTAATCGTTTACCATGATATTTACGATAAATTATTAAAAAATCCAATATATATTGTATACCGATTGATGGTAACCAACGAATATAACCATAATTAAGGCTATGATAATCAAATAATGTACCTTTTTTAAATGAATTTTGATTAAATTGATTTAAAATTTGTTTAATATTTTGATTAAATGATTGAATAATATCTTTGTCGATATTCTTTTTTGGATTCAATGATTTTTCCATAAATAATTTTTGTCCAAAAAATTTCCAAATTGGATCGTATAAAGTTGACTTTGTTGTTGTTGTTTTGGCTAAATTTTTTAACGATATTTTATGGCCAATATTTTCGGATTCAATGGCCATTCGATCAAGATTCAAAAATGTTTTAAATTGTTTGGATAATTTATCGTCTGTCCAATTCGAAAGTAAAATATTTAAATGACGATAAAGTTTTGTAATTTGAAAATTCCATTGTTGATTATCAATACGTTTAAAATATTTATAAAGATTTTTCATTGCAATAGGATTTTTAATTGGATGTATGGTTAGAACATTTGATAAATCATGATTTGATGATTGAATCATACCATCATTATCATTATTTAAAATTGATTGTTGTATGGATGAATTATGATGGAAAAGATTTTGCATATCATAACTCCATGTACAAGATATACCAGCAAATCGATGTAAACAACGACCAATTTCAACATCTTCATGTGTTGAATAAAGATTCTGTAGACAATATTTAATATTTGTAGCAATTTTCTGCAATGATTTAAAGGATAATATAACACCCGGGCCACCCATACAAAAATTATCATGCATGGAAAGATTTAATTGTCCAAATTCATCTTTATTACCAACACCAGTTTGACCAATATAAATTGATTCAGAATTATTAAGACTTTCAAGAAATTGTTTTAAACGTTCAACATTAACGAATAAATCATCATCAGCACGCATAAAAAATTTATAATGATTACCGAAATAATCATTCATAAATTTAAACATAAAAAATGATTTTTTCTGCGGTGGATATGAATCATCTACCTGTGGTAAGGCAACAAGTGGTAGATTTGAATTTGTTCTGCGGTTTTTTAGTGAGAAAAAAAAACGAAATTATCAGTCAAAAAATGTTTACATTCGAAAACAATTTTACAAAAACTTACTTTTGATTTGAACTAGTAAAAAATAAAATATCACCATTTAAATCATGACCCCATGTTTCATAGATGGTTTTAGCTCGAGTCGTTAGAAATGATTTTGTTGTCATTACACCGATCAATAATAATTTACGTTGATCATTTTGGTTGATGTTGTTTCGATTGGTGGTCAAATTATGTATCGAATAAAATGTATTGGCTAAATCATTGTTTTTAGTCGATATTTGAATCACATTATCATTATCATTTGATGATAACCATGTTGAACGATATGAACAAATTTGATATAGAATATCATTTTTAAAATTTTCATAATTAATTAAACGTATTTGACATGTAATCCATGAACCGATAATAATACCGATTAAAATATGTACAATTTGTTTTAGGGTTTTTAAATGGAAAAATTTTTTGTTCTTTGAATACATTATTATCGTTTGAGCGAAAAAAAAGACAAAAGAAAAATCTACAAAATTTGACTAGATTTTTTCAGAAAAACCAAAACCAAGAAAAAACATTTCAAAGAATCGATGATTCGAATCGTCGACACATACAGGGTGAGATACAGGATAAACACCCAACAAGCACATTTGGTTGAACCAGACACAGACCGAGACAGAGAGAGAAAGCAACAGTATTTTTTTTTCAACCCATATTTCAACCCAAATGAATTTCACACACCGAGAGTGAAAACAGAATCCCAATATGAATTTTATGACTCATATTTTTTGCAATGAGGAATATCCCTTCATCGAAAAAAAAGATTAATGAGCTATTTCGACACAAGATGGCGCTTTTAGATTCCTATTTTTTCGTGAAAATTTTCGAAAATTTTTTCAAAAAATTTTAATGATTTTTCTTTTAAAATAAAAATTTTAAAAATTACAAAAAAAATTTACAAAAATAAATAAGAAAAAAATGAATGTAATGAGATCATTTTGTTGTTGTTGTTTAGCTAACATATTTTTTGCTAATGATTTTCTGATGATTTTCGATGATTTTTAATGAAAACAATGGAAAAACAATGGAAAATGAAGAAAAGAATTCAAATGGAATGACCTGTCAATGACATCATTGACAGATGATGATGGCAGCTAAAAAAATCATCATCACCATCTTCAACATCACCATCATCATCATCATCATTAAAATCACTACTTGTATCACTTGTATTAGCAATTATTGTTGATGTTGTTAATAAACTAGATGCTTCACTTGAACATCTTGATAACTTTCTTCTGGAATTGATCAATGATTTTATTCGCGGTTGTTGTTGTTGTCGTTTGCGACATAATTTCCATATCAAAATGATTGTTGTAGTTGAAAACAATGAAAGAAATAAAAATTGACCGAAAAATATTGTAAACAATATTGACCAAAATCTTGAACATTCCGAAGAATTTTCCGGATAATTTCTACAATCCAAATGCTTGAAATCAACATAATCTTTTAAAATTTTACCGGATAAAATTTTCTGTACATTTTGTGGTTGTTCACAATAATCATTAGCTTTATTTTCAAAAAATTTACGAAATTTCCAATAAATACAACAAATTGGTTGTTGAAATTGTTGAAAATAAATATCAATAATTTTTATTGAACAATCCATACCATCATAAACATTGATTAAATCATTAACCGAATCAAACAGGCCGAATTGTTGATGAGAATCATTAATGGTTGATAAAATGATGAACAAAGTGATGATTTTGAGCATTTTCTTTTGTCGTTATCAGATTGTTTCAGGAGAAAGTTTTTTTTCCGGAAAAAAACACTTGTTGAATGTGATTCTTTTTAACTGGCAATTTTCTCGCTTTTTATATAAAGGATTTTCAGAAAGAAAGAATCCTCGATCATATCAGATGATGCAAAAAAAACAAACCAGTTAACCAATCATTACCATCATCGTCATAATCATCATCTTTGCTTACTTACTTTTGACTTTGACATTGAAAACGTCAATAGTCATAATTGATCCAATCGATTTATCAAATTGATCGATCGAATGATTGATTGATTGAACGAACGAACAAGCGAAAATAGACACAATGAAAATTTCTATTTGAGTGAAAAAAAATTTGAATATTTTAACCATTTATTTTCCGGGTTGATGTTTCTGTCGAAATAGAAAAGATGTCAAACGAGCAAACAAAAACAAGTGAAAACAAGAAACAGAGGGATCGTATGATCGGTGACGTTCGATAACCAAAAATGACACAATCCTGTTGTTGTTGATGATGGAAAAGAAATTTACAGCCAGCCAACTAAACAGAAGAAATGATGATGAAATTCAAAAAAGCGGAAAAACGAAAATTTCGAACGAATTTCTTGAAACAATCGATCAATGAAAATCTAATCAAATTTTTTTTCAAAATAGAATTTGAAAAATTCTTTTCAAAATTTCCATATAAAAACTTTCGAATCAAAGTTTTTCGATTTTGTGAATTGAATTTTAGTGGTTTTGGTTTTCCGTTGGTTTGCCTTTTTCACTTGAAACAATTTTTCAAGCCAAAAATCATGAACGGATGGACATTGTTAATTATAATGATCATCATTGAATCATTGGTTGAATATGCATTAACAAATAATGAAAAAAAATTATTAAATATTATTGAACCACAAGATGGATTGATTGAATTAAGTACACAAGGTACTATAAGCCAAATACATAGTTGGCTTTACAAGTTATGTTTTACACATTATATAAATTTTGCACCGATTGATAAAACAATGACAGTCGAATTGATTGAAAATGATGATATTCATCCATGTGCACGTGGTAGTTATATTGTTACATTTGATGGTTGGTCATATTATGATCAAATATATCCAGCGGCAGATAATCCATATTATCGTATAAATGATCGTGCAAAAGAATTTTGTCGTAAAGGTGTTTCAATAACATTCATTTATAATGCCGGTATGATAATGTATCG